TGTTTGAGAAAATGAATTTCTGCATATAAATTCATGCTTTCTTTCATATCATTACTGAGAGGTTTAATTAAAATATTTAAATAATCATCATCCTTATCAAATTATATGCACGCAGACAAACATAGTAAAGTTTATATTGAAAAAATATAAATTAATCCCACGCTCGTTGATATATTTACACTGCACTATCGACGTTAATATTAACTCACCATACAATTATCCGAATTCAACACGTGACGTGACTATTCCGAAACCACTACGATATCGATATATATATATATATATATATATATATATACACAAAACCACAAAACAAAAGCAAAAATGTTTATCGGAATAGCAGAAACCAATATTACCAACGCCACCATACCACCATTACAAGAAACAACAACTGATAATAATTTCCCTGCACTGGTGGCTTGGGGAATTGCGTTTCTGTGGCTGATTATTGCAATTGGTCGGGTAAATACATGTAACGATGAATGATTTTTTCCCTTGATTTTTAATATGATTGATTTTTAATCATATTTTTTCAATTCAAGTGGTTATGTAATTCTATATGGAGTTTATGGACAGGAGATTCTACGCTGAGTGAGATATTATTAGGCGAAGACGATGAAGAATATTGGGACGAGACTATTGTTTAGAACCCCTATATGCGAGAGAGAAATATAAATGCTTAAGAATGAAGAAAGGTATGTTAATGTGCGGTGTGTATATATATAAATATATATATATATGAATCTATGTATATAAATTCAAACATATTTTTTTATAAATGAAGTGCCACTACGAAAAAAGGAAGTAATAATGAATTTTTAAGAGAGATTCTTCAATTAGAAAATATAAAATTTATTTACATGAGAATGTAATAATTTTTGAATATCCTACCAAATAACGCCATAAACAAGCGAAAAGAATATTTATTAAAGCTTTTAGAAACTAATTAATGCCAAAGAAAAATACCCGACGAATTAGATTCCACCAAATGACCCATATATGTTTGATTGAAAAACGAATGATTCAAAAAAAATTATCAAAGAAATAATTTGACCTTGAAGGGGGACAAAAGAGAAGCAGGCAATAGCGTCGGATATCATTCTTTTCTCGCAAGGTAATGGTCGGTTGTCATTATGACTTGCGCACCTTCCGTGTCATCATCATCATCATCGTGTTGTCCCATGGTAACTGTTGGCGCGTAGAGATCTCCATTCTCGTATCTCACACACTTTGGCAATGGGGAAGCGAAGGCGGAGAATAAAAGTTCTTGTTTGAGCTGTTGATCATGTTCCTTTTTCGCTTCAGTGCACATTTGCTTGGTAAGTTTGTAGCATAAAGATAGATATACAGAATGCAGTTAGTCCGTTGATGTATTACCACCAATAAGAAAGAGAAAAATTCACTTACTTCAGAAGTCATTCGGCTAAATTCCTCAGGGTCAATCTGTCGCAATAATATCTTCTTTCGCAAATCAGGATTGGTATTTATATTTAGGACTCGAGTCATCACAGCATGCTTGTATTCTTCTGTCAGTTGTTGACGTCCTTTGTTGAATGCACGGAACAAACAAATTTCAATGGTACCAGATATCCACCATATGACCAAATCTTCATCTGTGTTTGTAAAGAATTGTTGTTTATCGTCATTTATTGTTAGATTTATTAACCCACGACTAATTATTTACCTGTATCGGCAAGAGGAGCGTCAGAACATGTCAACGCTTTTCTGATTAACTTTACGCCTATAAAATTTCCAAATTTAAATTTTTTTATTTTTATCACATTTAAAGTAAAATTTGTAATACAAACTTCTGTCTCGTGATATGTTTTCTGTTTCATAGCCGTATGGTGGCATTCCGAATCGTTGTTTTTATGAAAAACGAATACTGCTGTTTTCGATTTTTTTTGCTAATCAAAACACAGGTTATGTGTGTAATCAACTCTTGCTTATATACTTTTTGCACAAATAAATCATGTGATAGGTGTTTGTGCGCGTGATGTACATGTATGATGAGTTCATGTAAATTGATATAGCGACTGATTTATGGCTTGTGATAGATTCTACTGATAGAAAATAGCTTTATTATGCTAAATAAAAAAATATTTAATAAAGCATGATCTCTTGTTATCTCTATTGGAAAATATAAACAAAAAAATGTATCAAACGCGCGATATCATAGTCGTATTGGTGTTACTAATTTTCCTAATTGTTGTGCGCGTTTTGGCTACTGTTTTCAAGGTAATTTCCAGGAAACTGTCTGAGCTGACTTCCCATTAGATCAACCGTTTTTTTTTGAATTTATAGAAGGAACTTGACAGGTTTTTACGTGGTAGCTTTGCGTAATGACAAATTTGTTGTTTGAGTGGAATTTTTTTATATGGTTAAACTGAAATTTGGATGTTCTTGATAGAACGATGAAAGAAGGTAAATCAAGATAAAGATAATAATGGCTTTGTAGGCTTTAATTTTCAAATTACTTAAATTTTTTTAATAAAGTTTCAGAGTTGAAAATAATAACAATATCCTGGGCAAAATCAAAATCAATAATTGCATATTTTCTCCATCAAGCTATGGATAAATAATTATTCATGATGCAATTGTAACTGTTATCTTTACCTGAATTTGAAATTATGTTTATTTATGTCAAGTATAAATTGAAATATTTCGCATTGCATGTATTAGTTTCTTTCTATTTGATGACTGTATTAGCGTTAATAAGTCGGTCTGTTTTTTACGTTATGGAAAAAAATTTTCTGTAATTGTGCCAAATTCTGCACAATTATTGTTTTTTTGGTTGACTTTTTAAATTATTTTGTCATGAATAAAACTTTAATTACTCACACACTAAAACGGTGCAATGCAACTGAAAAATTTAAGCGAAAGAATATTAATGGATCAATTGTAGAATTTTGTAATGAAATGAATACGGAGTGCCGTTATGTTACATTCCTAATAAAATAATAAAATCTTTATGGTATTTGCAAAAATTCACAAGTCAACTCAAGTGCATTTTAAAACCGGATATACCGACTTAGCGGATTTGATTTTCTTTAAGATGCAATAATTTTGTCATATGCTCTCCAAATACATGTACATTGAATAGAAGATATAGAACATAAAGTCACAACCGTGAGAAAATTGTTTCGCCAAGAAATTACGTGATTTTCTTTTTTTCAAGTACTATTTCTTAAAATACATTAATTCGCTCTGAACAACTTAACAAACATTCGTTTGACTTAATTATTTATCACTATGGTAAGCAGTTTTCATCACTGTTTAATTTCATTATGAATGGTGGACGATAACTTTTTTTGTAGATATGTGATCCTCAGGTAGCAAAACAACTGAAGAAACTGAGAAACATGAGATGAAAATATTGAAAGAGAAATAAATAATGGAAGAGGAAAAAGTTTAATGGCACTGGAACTTCAAGTTATGAAAGCAAAATATGAAATAGGAAGCGGCTTTTTCCGCCTATATGTAATCGTCATCAGAACAGTAACTTCTTTAAAGAGACAGCTGATTTAATTGATAAAATCAAAGATACACTATACTCAGCCAAAGAAGCCTTAACACGTTTTAAAGTACTTGTGATAATTTATTTGTTGTTGTTTCTCAAGCTACCGATTATGCCGTCGTTTTGAGATCTATAAAAGCACCCGTGAGCTTCTGGAATTTACAAAAGCGGAGGCTGAAAAATACATGTTTACAGAACCATTTTAACTAATATTTTGTTGTTGCATCAAAACAAGTTCGAATTATTTTAGTTTTGTCTACTCAAATCATCACTTGACTCTATATTGATAGAATTAAAATAAAACTTTCCATTCATTGTAGAATTAGAATGTTTGAGAAAATGAATTTCTGCATATAAATTCATGCTTTCTTTCATATCATTACTGAGAGGTTTAATTAAAATATTATAAATTCATGTCTTTATCAAAATTAAAATTTTTCAAACTATTTTTTTATATTATTTTTTAATTATTTGTGATAGAAGATATATGATAAAGTGGATTTTTAAATGAAGAGAACATTTATATATCATTTACTTTTATATTAAGTAATATTTTATTAAATAAAAAATAGAATATATCATAATGATGATCAATAATTTCTTTATTTTTAATTTATTTTAATTATATATTATTGAAATTTATTATATTATTTATTTATAAAAAACTTATTTTGAATTTTTTGAAAAGAATTCTGGCTCAAGTTTATAAAATAATAAAGTAATTCTAGTAATAATAATTTATCAAATATAAGTTTGAAAAATAAATTTATAATAATAATAATCTAGTAAAAAATAAAAATTAATTTTTATTCAGAAAATTTCTATTCTTATTAGAAATTTTCTGAATTTTTTATAATAATTTTAAAAGTTTTTTGATTTATTATTAAAATGATAGAATATTTTTAAATATGTTTCAATTTTTTAATAAAATATTTTATAATAATTTATTATATTTATTATTATATTATTATTGAAATATTTCTAGAAAATTTTTATTATATATTAAGATTATTAATATATTTATCAGGATATTACTAAAATATTTTACTATATTTATTAAAATATTATTGAAAACTAATTATAAATAGTAAAATATTAATAATTTTATTAAAAATATTTATATAATATTTTATATAATAAATATTAAATATAATAATTTAAATATATAAAATATCTAAATAAAAATAAATTAATATAATAATTAAACAAATAAAATAATATTAATTTATTATATATTTTAATATTTTTATTTTTTATTCTGAATTTATTCTAATATTTAAATTTATTAAATTTATATTTAGTTTTATTATAATTCATATTTTATTTTAATTTTTTCAAGTTTTTTCTTTTTTATATAATCTTCTTGTTATGTATTGTAAATTATCAGAAAAATTCACACAGAAAATTCAAGATATAATAAAGTAATTGAAATAGTATTTACATAAAAAACTAATTCAAGAGCAGACAAGAGTTTATAATTAAAACTTAATCTTTATTATAATAATTATTATTATTATTACAGAATAGAAATAGTATCTTTAAATAAATAAATTAATATTATATGAAAAATAAATAGTTATTAATATATATTATTTAAATAAATAGTATCTTCAAAAGAATATAGAAAATAAAATTATAAATAAAAATATAAAAAGAATAATATATCTAGCTATATTTGTATAATAGGAAAAAATAGAACTTTTATAAAGAATTATTCTCTAAAACAAAAAATAACTTAAAGAATTATGTGATTTTTCTTAACAAAATCAGATAATTATAATATAGTAATTATATATAATATAGTAAGATAATATAATATAATTTATAAATCTATTAATTAAATTTATTATATAACTTTTTTCTTAAGAATCAATATTCTTATTAATATTTTAATTCAAAAGATTTCATAAGTTTCATAATATTATAAAGATTTTTCAAGAGTTTTCAAATAGTATTATGAAGTAAATAATCTAGTTATTTAACTAAGTATTAAGATTTATTATAAATAATTTTTTTATTTAAGATAAATTTAGCTTTATATTTTTTTCAGTTTTAGATATAATAATTAATTATAATAATATTAAATAAATAAATTTTTATTATTATTTAAATTATATAACTTTAATAATAAAATATAAAAAATAGAGTGAATCTTTATATATAATAATAAATTTAATTTATATATAATAAATAAAATTATTTCAAGAATAAAAAAGAATTTAATATATTTAGATATAAGCTTTTTACTAAAGTATTACTTATCTATAAAATTAATTA